TTGCAGGGCACATACTCCAACATCTTAAGATCTTGATCCTGCAAGTCATTCTTACAAGTGAAGCAAAAAAAGCAAGAGACTAGTGTTTAGGCAGAAGGATGAGGAGGACCAAGAAAAGTGTAGAGAAGAAGTCTTCCTACCTTCTCCTTCACAGGATTCTCAACAAAATTAAAATCAAGCTCAAACTCTGCAATAGTGAAACAGGTTGAGGTCAGGGTGAGGTAGGGTTAAACCAGGACTGGAGTGTAAAAAGTCGGTGATATGGATATGTTTATGGGGCAGTTAAATTGTCTCTTAAATCACCTCACCAAAGGCAGACTATCAGATTAGACATGCCTGTACTTGAACTACTCACCTAGGCTCACTTCAGAGCCTGTGGAGACACACAGGCTCTTCCCAGGCACTGCCAGGGACCAGCACAGCTCACCTGCAAACTGTTCAAGTCCTGCAAATGCCACTTTGTCCCCACTGACTCAAAAGGAAGCTGAGGGTGAGAGCCTCAGAAATGGATGTCTACCCTGGGGACATCTCTACCCCTTCCTCCTTCACCTGCCTGGGAGCAGGCCTGTTGTGACTGCAGGAACAATCCAACCTGTATTCCCTGCTCTGAACCTTCCATGTGTGGAGGACTTGCTGGATCAGCCCCAAAGCACTATGTAAAATGGCTGTAATGTGTATATTTATATGAATCATATACATTAACTACATAATAGTCACCCATGCTCTCCATCCCACATGCACTTTGCTTATGCATAGGACACAAAGGCTGAGTGCATTCACTATGAATCATGCAATAAGACTACATCCCTCAGGCAAACTCTCTCTAAAACGACCATGTGCATATATTCCCATGGTTTCCACTACAATATTATTTAATTAAGAATATTAATCTGCTGGGCCACCAACTTTCACTGTCATCTGGGGAAGTCTGAGCAGACAGACATTTTAATAAAATATGGGGAATGCTGCTCTTTTTATGACTGAGTTCTGCAATAAGGTAATGCAATTTCATGGCCTCATGAGCTTATTTTTTATTTGTTCTTGATGAGACCAGAGAGATCATTGGTTCAAAAGCTGCATGAGTGATGCCAGACAGTATTTTTTTGCTTTGCTCTTCAACTAATGCTGTTGAATACTTCCCAAATACATGTGGCACATGATTAATTAGTTGTATGACACTGCAAATACAGCACTGATCCCCATTTGGAGAATACAAGTTGAATACTTGCAGTTTGACAGCCACAGACACACATTTGCACGTGCCTGCAGCATGCATGCATGTAAACATGTCAGTTGTGCAAAGAAATCAGTCTAGACACTGACATGACCAGTTTAGCTGCATTACACCAGCCTGCTCGAATAACTCCTCCGGGTTACAGCCTGCTGCCCTTTTCCCCTCTGCAGATGTGGAACTTCATGCACTGCTATGGCAGATTCCCATCACCTCCAGTCCTACATCCCCAAACCTCTTCTGATGCTCCGCCTAATATGGGATTCAAGCACAGGTGATTTCATCACCAAGAATCATGGAATCATTAAGGTTGGAAAAGATCAATTGAGTCCAGTGGTTAACCCAGCACCACCATGATCACCTCTAAGCCATGTCCCTAAGGACTACATCCACATCTTTTGATCACTTCCAAGGATGGTGACTCCACCACTGCCCTGGACAGCCTGTTCCAATGCTTGACAAATGTTTCAGTGAAGAAATTCCTCCTAATATCCAAACTAAACCTCCCCTGGATCAACTTGAGGCCATTTCCTCTTGTTCTGTCACTTGTTACTCGGGAGAAGAGACCAACCCCTACCTTACTACAAACTCCTTTCAGGAAGTTATAGAGAGCGGTAAGGTCCTACCTGAGCTTCCTTTTCTCCAGGCTGAACAAGCCGAGCTCCCTCAGCCAGTCCTCATAGGACTTACCCTCTAGACCCTTCCCCAGCTCTGTTGTCCTTTCTCTGGACTCACTCCAGCACCTCAATGTCCTTCCTATTGTGAAAGGCCCAAAACTGAGCACAGGATTCAAGATGCCTCACCAGTGTACAGTGCAGGGGGATGATCACTGCCCTGGTCCTGCTGGCCACATTATGTCTGATACAAAGCAGGATGCCATTGGCCTTCTTGGCTACCTGGGCACACTGTCAGCTCATGTACTAATCCCCGGATGGGGGGGAACACCACTACTTCCGCCATGGGATGGGTGTGTTTCTGGTCAAGGGAGAACCATCAAAAGTTCCTCTTGAGGGTTGTCACTGACATTAAAACCAGGAGTCACTCTTCTGGAGGGCACATTGCTTTATTAGATGAAGTATTTTAAACACTTGCATGAGCATAACTTAAGAAGTTGTCCAGGCAGAGCCCTAGAGGCTTGTGGAAAGGGTGGGTGATGTGAAATTATGGCAGATAGGAAGTTCTATGCCTGTAGGTGTGACAGCCAAGGCCTAAGGGGGAAGTTTTACCCATTTGTCCTCCTGCATGATGTTAAGCAACAGGCAGTAAATATGGCATTCATTAAAATGACCTTGTATACATTTAACAGCCTTGATAATCAGTTTTCTGCCACTGTATCAGAAAGCAACTTTTTTTTTAATTCAGGGCCTTGTAAAGCTCTAATTTCTCCCTCATGCACTAGAGTTGCCTGAAGTTTTCTAAGGTTTTTAGTGCTTCTTAGCAGTCATTTTTAACCCTCTTCAAAGGTCTGTTCTCTTCTGAAAGATGTACCAAGTAACCGAATGGAGATTTGTATTTCTCTGTGTGTGAGGGATAAACTGGTTGATGTATGGTGCATCTTAAAACCTGCATATCTTTCTCTATTTAGACATACAAGGGGCTGGATCCTGGACTCCATCCCTGTGGTACTACTAGGTACAAACACTTGAGAGGAACTGCAGAGTTTGCAGCTGGGGCTGCAAAGCACCTCCTTGCATCCTGAGCATCTGAGCTGGTCTTCCAGCCTGGAGCCACCCTCTCAATAAAGAATTTCTCTAGCTCTGAATAAAGAATTTCTATTCTGAATTTCTATTTCCACCAGCAAACACTGTAACAACCTCTGGCACTTCTGGAAGATCAAAGTCCCCTTTCTCAATCTTGAATCTATCTGCAAGCAAGATCCCCATGCTGGGAAAAAGATAAGGGCATTGTGGAGGCATCAGTTGAGCCCTCGAAAGATGAAGGAAAAGCACGAAGGCAACTGGCTAGAGTACAGCAGAAAAGTTCAGTCCACGGCCACACAATGTACACAACCAGGTCTTTTAGTCATTCTGCCTGTGCCCACATGCCAGGCACTCACGTCTGAATACACACAGACAAGCAAGGGCTGCAGGGCAAGCATGTGGCATACAGCTGCCAGGTCCCAGCCGAGCCTCTCCTGCAGGTATTGCTGGGGGCACAATTGCAAAAATAACCCATTCAACAACACAGACCATCAGGAGGCTCTGACTCAAAGGGAACCTGTTTCAGGCCAAACAAAGCATTTCCTCATCATCAAGCCCATCGAGTTTTTTGACCCAAGTCAGCGTGTTGCAGAGAGCCCTCAGGAACCTGCTCCACCACCCTTCAGCCCTCAGCCCACATGGAGATCTTTGGCATCTCTGCAAAAGCAGAGTGCACTAGGGCTGCAGAGGGTTTTGCAGCTGTTTGTTTGAGAAACAAAGCTTCCCTCCTCCAAGATGAAAGAAATCAAGGAGTCTATGCTAATCAAATCCTACACGCCTTCTGGCTGCAGTTCAGCTTGTCAGGGATGCAGCTCAGTGGAGTGATCAACATTTCCAGTGCTATGAGCTTGGTGGAAGGGTAAAACATGACAGCAAGAAATTCACCTGGCTGGGAGTCAAACAGGTGTATGGCAGCAGCATCCAAGATTATAATAATATCTTGCAAACATGCAAAAAATAGATGTAATAAGACTGATACTTTGGTTTTCATTAATGAATCATAAAGGATTTCTTTACATTACACATGCTTTCTTGGCATACGCTGCTAATATTTCCACACTTGCAAGGTTGGAGTTTTAATACTGAGCCTCCCTCCCCTAAGGTTTCTCATTTTTGGCAAGATGTACAAGGTGACTGTGTGCCATGACAGGCTCTCTCTTACTTTGGGGCAATCAGATTACTTTACACAGATGGTTTTATCACTGAGACCATTAGAGATGAATTGCACAGCATGTAAATGTGCATTTGTTTGATAAAATAAAAAGAGGTCTCAGTTCCTCACTGCTGTCTTGTCTATGTTTCTAAATGTATTTCCTCTCTCCTGCTTCATTCTAAGGCATAATTTGTCCAATCTTTACCTTAAAGTGATGCAGCTTGTTTCTGATAGGCATCTTAAGTACACATTAACTAAGGGAACAGGCTTTCTTGAGCTACTGGATTGAAATGCAGGAGAATGAACCTTAGCCTTAACTATTGAAGAAATAAAGGCATCTCTCTGTCAGGATGCCTAACATGGAACACACTGCAAAAGTAAAGCACCAAAAAATAGAGCCTATCACAATTACTTTAAAACATAGAATCACAGAATAGTTTGGATTGGAAGGGACCTTAAAGACCACCTAATTCCAACACCCTGCCTCGGGCAGGGACACCTTCCATTAGACCAGGTTGCTCAAAGCCCCATCCAACCTGGCCTTCAACACTTCCAGGGATGGAACACCCACAGCTTCTCTGGGCCACCTGTGCCAGTGCCTAATTACATGCAAGTAAACATCCTCTTGTAGGGGAAACTAAAAGAGAGATAATGTATTCATAAAATCAGGTTTACAATTTAAAAATAGTCTGATTTGAAATGGACCTAGAGACATTCAAGTGAAACATGCTAAGAGCAACACAGCAGCTCTTCCACTTCAAAATAAAAGGGACTATGACCCCCACCTGCCATGCAGTAACCCTGATATCACTGAGTGAGCTTTGCTTTTGTTAAGGTTTGTCTGAGGCCACAGAGGCAGCCGCTGCCAGTCTTGTTCCTATCTGCATAATTGTTTTAGGCAAAACAGGGTCTTTACCTGAGAGGCGTCTGGGCACATCGGTAATGGCTGGAAGTCCTGTGCCTCGAGTGGAGGACAGGGGAGTTGTGGAGTGAATGGATGGTGAAGTCATCTGGCTCAAGTAGGATGGGTAAGACTGGTCATAGGACCATGGTGGGGATGACTGCGCCTGCCTGGGGTCTAAGGAAAAAGAACAAAAGAGAAAAATTTTAAAGGAGAAAAAAAAATTGGGGTATCAACAGCCTAATTGAAAGAAGTGGGATTACTGACCATACACATATCAGTGCTACAAGGAATGAGAATGTAATGAAACACAACTTGCTCCCTTTCAAGCCTTGGTCTGTGCTTTTCTGTCCCCAGAATTTTTAGGGGAAATGAACAGAACAATGAGCGGAGTTTTAAAAGATCTGTCAGCTGTGCTGCAAATCCCTGATGTCTCTCATCCAGGTCTAACAGTGTGTTATACCAAGAGTGGCCAGTCCTCAAGGATTTGGACACAGGAGCAGACAGGACAAGCTCCAGGTCTGAGCTTAGGAAGTGGACTTCATGAAATCATAGAATCATTAAGGTTGGAAAATACCTCTAAAATGATTGATTCTAATCATTAACCCAGCACTGCCAAGCCCACCACTAAACAATGTCCCTAAGCAACACATCTACAAGATTTTTGCAACATTTCCAGGGACAGTGACTCCACCACTTCCCTGGGCAGTCTGCTCCAATGACTGACCACCCGTTCAGTGAAGAAAATCTTCATAAGATCCAATCTAAATCTTCCTTGGCACAACCTAAGGCTGTTTCCTTCAGAGGTGGGGAGACTCTACAGTCAGCATTTGGCACGCCTGTCAAGCTGTTATCCAGTTCAAACATCACACAGTAATGTTTTCAGTGCTGAAAATACTAGCCAAGGAGGAAAATGTCATTAATCTTATCAGCATCTATCCAAAAATGTCACATTTGAATACTGGCCCAATTACCTACAGTCACCTCAATTACAAAATATCCAAATGGTTTGTGATAACTACCAGAGGCTAATGATGCCTTTTGATGTACTTGTGACAGCTCACTATGGAGGAAATTATTTTAAGGTAAATACAGTTTAGCCTTTGCTGAAGCACTGGTGGCTTGCACTGAGAGAGAGGGAAACCTAGTTTTACTCACTGTTGTTTGGATTTATAAAACATTTGCTCCCAGTTAGTATGTGGTGATAAAAATACTGCTGAATGCCTCATAAATTATGATTTTTATTTTTTTTACATTGATAAAAACAAAGCACTTTCAACCCCAAAGTTTGTTTTGGGCACTGCACAATAAACAGAAAGCTAGCTCTGAACTGGCTCATGGAAAGTATAGCACATCTCTCTAAATCCTGTCCAGTATTTTCAGGGAAGCACATCAGGTCCACTCAATTTGGAGAACCTGCTCTATCAGAACACTGTGCTAAGGCCCTGAATTGCAGACAGCAATATCACAGCCACATGGCATAAGCAAAGGCACTTTTTCAGGAAATACAACTTTTTTTTTTTTTTTACTTCTTTCCCTGCTCTTCCACACAGCAAAACCTTGTAGTTTCAGCTATTCCTTGTTTATTATTTCTGTTCAGATGTGATTTGTTTGAAGAGATGTCTGGAAAGCAGATACTTCCTTGAAGCAAAATAACTATATAGATACATATAAAAACCCCAACCTTCCAATTTAATTTTAAGAGGATTTTCCTGGAGTTTGCCATTTATATTAGACCTAAGTAATATAAATGGTTAACATAAACTCCTCAGAAATCCTAATGACACTTGATCATTAAATGTAATGAACTTCTTTGTTTTAACAATTTCAAGGCCAGGGTTGTATAGATTGGCTCAGATTCAAATCTGACTGACTGCTCCTTGTTACATCTGATATCGACATATTTCTCTGCCTCATTCCACTACAATAATTCACCATGCAGTGAATGGTAAATGATCTTCAACTGGGAACGGAAAGCCTAGGCTTGCAGGGAAAACAATCTTAAAATTAATGATGTGTCAGGAGCACAATCTCAAATTCAAGCTCCTTCAAACTCCAAGAGCTTTTCAATCTCTGCTTCCGAATTCAAAACAGAGTCCCTTAAAGTTTTGGATTTAGGTCACCTCCAATGCTGGAAGGAAATTATGTAGCAGCTAAAGGCTGAAAGACAAAATCACAACAGGGAATGTTTTCACAGCATTTTGATCTAAGATGGTGGATGCCTCAGGAAAGGAGCCTGGATGTTCATGCCACTCCTGGTAGTGCAATTCTCACGCCACCCTCACTACTTTGAACACACATGCTAGACTGAATTTTATACTTAACATCCTTAATACAACGACTGTGAATGCTTGTGTGGGCAGAATATGGGGTTGGATGAACCATCAGTTGACCCAAAAAACTTATCATATATTCTTTCAACATTTAGCTTAAATTTATACATGGCTTTTATACATAGGCATCCAACCTCAGAGCCATAGAACCACATTTCTTTTTAAGATATATATTTTTTATTTCAGCCCTCCATGAGTCCAATATTGTTAGATTTTAAACTGCAAAATATTTTAGAGAGAGAGAAAAAAAGAGGATGGACTCTTAGTGACGACACTGCATTGTGACTTAACTACTTCTGGTCCTGAATCAGATCTCCTACTGGACTTGGATAACACCCAACCTCCATTTGATGCAATTTCTACCTAAATTTAAGGACAATAATCATATAAGGCACATTTAGTTGGTCATTTCTTTTAAGGTGCAGGAATTCTCCAAGTGTCTCACTCACAAAATGGGGTGTTCATCTTGCCTGGAAACTTTCAACCCAGATATTGAGGTGCAAACCTGTGCCCCTTTGAAACTAGAGCGCAAGGAACTTAGCTCAAGGGAAAAGGGGATCATGTCTTCTCAGGGAACTGGAAACAATGAAGAGGAAAATCCTCAACGAAACTGGACATCAGATGATGCATCAGAGCTCAGTGACTGAGGAGGTCACAGTACCTCAGGCTAGCGGGTTACTGCAATTCCTCCACACTGAGGCATGGCTAAGGTCATGGTTGAGTCGGGGTGGGGGTGGG